AGAAGGTTACAAACAAAGGTGGTACTCGAGTGAAAGGAACAACAACACAAGCGTAAATGAAAGAAAGAGAGGTTTATTGTAAAAGAGAATACACTACTGAAAAACAGGGAATCGGCTAGTAAGTTAGTAATTCCCGAAGCATGGATATCTACTAACCACCCAACGCGGTCAGATGTGGCACAAGGCTAAATTTAATGTGGGGCATCCGAACCCGTATGCTCGGCAAAAAAAATCCCCGTATAAAACGGTGTCGGGTGCATGTTTCCCGAGAAGAGACGGGTACCTGTTTCCCGAGAAGAGTCTTTGCCCTTCGACATAGTCTGGTGATCCTCTCTCCCTGGATGCAGATAATTTGACCTGCATAGCTGGTGCCGAAGTAAGGGTATTTACCTTACCTCCCCGCGTGCCAGAATGTGGCACAAGGCCTTTATTAACGCGGGGTAAAACCGAGCCCGTAGACCCCGTAAAAAACAGGGTCGGGTAGCTGTCTCCCACCCCAGACGAGACTCTGCCCTTCGGCAGAGCTTCGTATGGGTTCCTCTCCGCCCGAAGGCAGAAGTTGACTAGCTTATTGTTTACTTATGTCTACTAAAATTCACACAAAAATAGTCTAAAGAGCCACCCGAAGTACAAGGTTATATTCAAAATGATGAATAAGGTGTGTGATATGAATGAAAGAGGTGTTGATAGGAAGTGAAAATTATGAAGATAAGGAGGATATATTGACTCTTGAAGAGTTTTAAATTGTTTTATTCAGGAAAGCATCCACTTGGAAGTCTGTTCCATGAAATAAGACTTTTAGGGCAAAAACGGAGTGGAACTCCCTTCTTAGATTTGCAACATGGAAGAAATGAGGATGATTTAACTCCGTGGAAATAGCTTGCTAGGTCCTAGTTGAGAATACCTGAACTAGTGGAATGAAAGAATAAAACCTCATCTCACCATTTTCCATAGAAATGCCAATAGAGCGCTCCGGCGTAGTGTATATTTTTCTCTAATAAGCGCATGTTTTTCTCGAATATTCAGGCCGGTAGGCGAAAACAAATAAATATACCAATGAATAAATAAACGGAACGTCTACTCAAATACGACTATATACTAAAATAACTAACTGCATGTACATATGCGTAAAACTTATCTATCCTGGAAAGTGCGAACGAATCATTGTTATATTTGTAAAGGGCGCTTTAAATCCGAATTCATTCCAGTTTCTTTCACAGAGAAAAAAAATGACCATTTCCTCGTGCTCTTTGGATTTCGGGGGACATTTTATTTAACAAAAACACATTATTAAAAGCGACAGCTTAACTGTCTTGAGTAGACAACACGGGTTGATGGTCAGTAATCCCTGTCAATTATCAAAGTAGTTTTTCTTTCTACGTAGGCGTATTTGTGTGTCTGTTCTTGAAATAACATTCTCTTTTTAAATCTACTGTTAACCCGTCAACGTAGACAACTTTATGGTTTGGGTAAGAGAAAGAGAATTTCCCGCGTCTATTTTCCCCGCCTCTCTGTCACGCCTGCTTACAGATTTGGTTATTTCTTTTATTTCGACCGATGATAGCTACTAATGAATCTTGGTTATTTTCTCTCGAATTAGTGACTTATCTTGGAGCCTATAATTTGAGACAAACGTTGAATGGAATGCGGACATATTTAGCAAAAGGAATTAAGTCATTTATTTTTCCTGAATATTTCTCCATTTTCGTTATATTAATTTGTAACACTGCTGTCATTCATATAATTTATCATGTACAACTCTACCTTGCTTGCAAGAAAATATATTCTTTACCAATTTAAATAGATACTTTTAAAAATTTTATTTTTACTTGGCTTCATATTTGAAGTAGAAATTTAAAAGTAAATTAGACATAACATCAGTTTGTCATACTAAATATAATTTCTTTTTAGGATAAATGTTTAAAGAACAAGATTGTTATTTTGTCGCCTCTTACGAATCTTACAATATTACCAACTAATGATAGAGAGTAAAAGAAAAGGTGATTTACTAACATTTTTGTTATTACTCCTCCCTTTTAGTTAAAATAAGTACAACCTACAGGAGGTGAAACATTTGAGAGAATTAGTAGGATTGTTCTTTTAATGTGGGTTTTAACGAGATAAGTATATTTGAGATAACCACACTTTCGGATTTTTATCGTCTCCATTGGTGACAAGACATCATTAAGAGAAATGATGAACAGAGATTGTTCAAGAACGTTTAAGTTGATTCCTTTCTTCAAAACTCTTAACAACTTCCTGTCTTTTGTTGCTCTAAGTAACTTTTGACCTGCTACCATTCTCTTGGTTCCGGGTGTGCCTTCCGCTTAAGTAGATTACTCGCTGTTTCCCCTGCTTCTCTTGCCTACACTATGTCACACGAGGGTTTAGTTATCTAGTCCTTATTTCCTCATCATGTGTACTAGAAATGTTCTCTTTTTAACTGTAAATATAAATTGCTGTTATTATTTTCCTTAAAACTTTTTGCTCGCATGTTCTCTTCATAATATTACTAACATCCATCGGTTGAACCTTATCTATGTCATTTCATGTCAAGCATCTAATATTATCAAGATATCAGATCAGTTCAGTAGATATCAGATCAGTATCAGTTTTTTTTTGTTGCTAATGATATTTTCTATGTTTGATACTTTGCTCAGTTTCTGGAAGGCATCTTTCGATGTTTCTATGCGTTTTCTGATTTCTGTGTTACATTTTTCATCATCTAGATCATTGCTGTCCATGTAACATTACTGGGGTCTACAGGGGTCCATTTTAAAATGGTTTATTATGAGTCATCTTACTAGTGTGCATAAATGTTCTATAGAATTTAGTTGTTAAATACAAGTTTATTTTCATTAAATTTTTACCCCGTTTTACTTCAAAATAAAGCATATACATTTACTACTTCTATAATACGATTCCTTAACTTATCTATTAGTAAAAACTAAAATATGCTTTTTTCATCGAACAGTTATGGGGGTCCACAAAAAAAAAAAACAAAAAACAAAAAAAAAACAGTAAAAGTGGTCCATAGGTAAAAAAAAAAGGTTGAGAACTACTGCTCTGTACCATGGGTGATCCATTCTTTCTTGAGGATTCCAACCTGAATACAAAGGATTTGGTAATGTTAAAGAAGCTGGCTATCTCTGTATCACTGTGTTTGGCTTGATCATGGTATGATTATTTTTCATTTCCTGCATCATATTTGAATCTGTCATGTTAATTCTCTTGATACATTTGAAAGACAAGTAAGTATTTTGTATAATATTATGCGAGGTTGTTGTCCATTTATGGCTTGCTAAAAGTATGTTCTCAAATATCGGATACTCCTCATATATATTGAAAACAATAGGATGAAACTATATCACTAAAGTTTGATTTCTATAGAATTTTGTTATTAAATACATTGTTAAGTTCATTGTCATTAAATTAGTTTTCCTTAAAAATAAAGAATATACATTCACTATTTCTATAATACAATTTCTAAACTCATCTATTTGTAAAAAATAAAATGAGCTTCTTTTTCACCGAATGGTTATGAAAGGGGGGGGTCCAGCAAAAAAAATAAATAAATAAAATAAGAGTAAAAGTGGTCCATGTGTTAAAAAAAGGTTGAGAGCCACTGATCTAGGTCACCCACTAGACTACCCAGATCGTTGAATTTCTGTACTTACTTGATTTTGACATTCGCAATATGTAACTCACATATTGGGTTGCCTTTTTGCTAACAACCATGCATTCAGGCTTCTCTGACAGTAACAGTTAGTCCTTTCTTCTTGCTTTTCAGTACAGCCTTGTCAAATAGTTCTTTTAGTTTCTTTTCAGGATCTGTCATCAACACTGTTTCATCTACATATCTTACGTTGTTAGGAAGATGTCCGATGATAATAAATTCTTATAGGTTTTCTAAGTCTCTTAGGAGCATCTCACTGCATTGCTTAAATAAATCCTGCGTAAAAATACATCCTTGCCTTCTCTTATGTATTCAATGACATCGTTCTCTACCTTCATGCAGACTATTTGTTCCCAATGGAAGTGACGAATTGCAGTAATATGTAAATGAAGCTTTTGATGGCCAGTTTTGATAGCGTTCAAAAGCGTTTACGCAGCCTTGTGGGTGATGAATTATTTTTCACTCTACAATCCCTATACCACAAACGAAACGTGGCTAGTCCCTCGCTCAGTCGGTTGTACCATATGTGATACACGCTTGGGCGATCATATCTCTTTCGATTCATGACTGGCTAGGCAGAAGATTTTCCCGCGCTAGCCTGCCATTTCTTTCTCCAGTAGACTGGTTGCCAACCAAGGCTAAAGAACCCTGTCTGTCCTGCTATTCAACCCATAGGCGAGGAAAAGAGATGGGGGTTTCACCTTTCTGAAGGGTATTTTTGCGTAAGTGAATGTAACGAACCTAACTGGAATTCGAACTCGGCTCTCTGATTTCTCATTTCGAGCCAATATCCATTACACAACACCGCGCCGTTATTTTTACTCTATCGTTATTTTCACGGCAAACGCCCAGACGATTTACATTCTTTTGTTACATCAGTTCATGTCTTCGCAGCTTGTATTCGTCATTTTGCGTACACAAAGTCGACTAATCCTCTTCATATTCCATTAGGAAGGAGGAAGATCCACTCAGACAGCATCTTCCCAAGAACTGATAATTTTTGGAACAGACTCCCAAGAGGATACTTCCGCGATTTAGTCTAGAGTCAACCGTTTCTGTACCTAATTATATGCACCTCTTGCAACAAACTAATTAAATAATCACTTACCATGAGTGTCTCCTAGGACTTTTATATTGTGAATAATAGTAGAACAAATAAACATACTGAGATTAAAACTGTAATCGTTCTTTTATGACTGAATATACTATTTAGCATGAATGTGACCTAATATCATACAAAAGCCGGAGAAAAGAACTTAGGGTTGTATTATTTATCTGTGAAAACGATCTGGTCAAATAATAGTGGAGTAGGCTTTGCATAAACCTAACAAAAAAAAATATGAACAAAGATAGATAGATAGATAGATAGATAGATAGATAGATAGATTTGAAGAAACTGGATAAGAGAAAAGTACTTTGAATGTATACGGTTATATCTGGGATATAGATGGAGTTTCAGATATGTATATGTAAGAATGAAAACCTTTTTTTAAACAACTTGTAATGGTTCCAAATGCTATAAGCTCTGCCAGCAACTCCATTTCTCCCCCTCTTTCTCTGAACTGCCTCTTTCTTCTGTTCATATTGGCACAATTTTCCTCTTTCCTCTTTGCCTGTCCCTCAACTCAAAATGGCACCAGAAACTCGTCCACCCCACTAAATAATCCTAATAAGGTGACTAGCCAATTATAGTTATTTCGTTGAAGGGATAGGAAGAGTTGTTAGTGTGACATCCGCCTGCGAGGTCAAGTTCATGACCTTTACCTAGGGCTACAGTATTTTCTCTACTCTCTTGCTCATTCCTTGACTTTCTCTTTTCCTTTGTCTTCTCAAAGTTACTTCACGGAATATATATATATATATATATATATATATATATATATATATATATATATATTTAGAGAGAGAGAGAGAGAGAGAGAGAGAGAGAAAAGAGACCGAGGGAGAATGGGAAGGAATCACCGTAGAATTTCATGTGTTGTCCTCAATCTACACACGTTGTTACATCAACACACATCAATAGGACAGGCAAAAGTCACACATATTTATATAACAGCAAGAGCCATCATTTTATCAGCCATAGCAACTAATACAGGGTGCGACAGGTTGACATGTAAATTTAAATATAAATATGAACAGTTTAGGTATATATAAATTAAATGCCTTCGTGTATATTTCTTTTCTTTTTATGTGCCATGTCCTTTCAGGACGTAGGCGATCATGGCTCTCCACCTCTCTCTATCGCTTGCAGCTCTCAACAAGTTTCTTCCCTCTGCTTCCTCCCCCCGACCACGTTCTGTCATCCACTTGCTTAAGTCCGCTAGGTATGTTATGCGTTGTTTTACCTTCTCTCTATTTCCCTCTATTCGACACGTGAGAATCATATTCTCCAAGCCCTCCTTCCTCAATATGTGTCCCAGAAACTTCAGATGCCTCTTCCTGATGTTAAGTATAAGCCTCCTCCTTTTTTGCATCCTCTCTAAGACCTCATCGTTGCTCACACATTTGGTCCATGATATCCTTAGCATCCTTCTGTAGAACCACATCTCCGACGCCTCGAGTTTCTTCTTCATCTTTGAGGAAATCGTCTGACATTCGCTGCCGTAAATGAGGACAGATGTCACGTAACAGCTCAGTATTCTTTTCTTTATTACCAAAGAAATCCTCCTGTTTCGCAATACTTTGCTCAGCTTTTGGAATGCGTCCTTGGCCATCCCAATACGCCTACGGACCTCAGTGTCGCACTTACCGTCCTCTGTGAAGACGCTTCCCAGATATTTAAACTTCCCCGTATTTCTTATTAGTATAAATATTATTCTTAGTTGGTACACGTATTTAAGTTGCCATCCGCGTTTATTATTAACAACTAGACTAGACTAGACTGAGAAATATAACAGAAAGATTTTCCTCGGCAGGAATCGAACTTGTATCCGCTTTTTCTTCTAGAGAAACTTTTAGATTTACAACCAACTTTACTTTCCTGTCGGAGAACGAATATTTTCTGTGAAAATTTCTCGGACATTCAGGCCGATACATGTTGTTTAATACTGTTTATTATAAACAGAGCATTTACTTAAATATTTGTATGTATAAAAAAGAATGTATAAACATAAAAATGTCTTTAAAATAATTATCGGACTTAGTCCATTTCATAATATATATATATATATATATATATATATATATATATATATATATATATATATATATATATATATAATATATATATGAGATTATAAAGGAATTATAAAGCTAAATATATAATACAATTTTGAAAGCGAATTTAACATAATTCGCTGATGAAACGGCATCATCTGGTCAAATAAAATTCTTTTGTTTTTAATGACGCGGGTTCTTTGGCCAAACAATGTAAAATAAAAGTTTTATACATTGTCTTATATATTTACCTCAAAGACACGCACACACACGCAGGCACACACACACACACACACACACACACACACACACACATATATATATATATGTATGCAGCAAGAATTAATTTAAACATGTTTTATCAACTTCATGGTCTGTCTAATTTTCTATTGCATTTTTCTCATCCATGAACAGTTCGTGTTCGTATCTTCACCACATCATAAAAAACAAAATTGAAATATAAACATAAAATAAATATTATCAAACTAGTGTACCCATGTCGTCAAAAATGACTGTAATGGTTATAAAATTTTAATATTAAGATGCAATGAAACAAGATTTGAAATAAAGTATTAGGATTCAATAAAGCGGAGATAAGAAAAAAAATTCACAACTAAAATAGTAGTCAATGAACTGTTTAATTAATCCGTTCTTTTTATATTTTATGGACTTTGAATGATATCTATGATTCATTGATTACTCCTCGTATTATATGAATCGCTTATTGTCTTTTCATCTGAAAAATTATATGTGTTTAATATAAAAGTGAAATGGAAATATCTCTCGGAAGTAAAAGATTAGCAACAATACAACAAAAATGGCGACGACTTCAAGACCAAGTTGAAGCAAGACGATCACTTTAATCGACAAAGGTATCTGAGAACGAAAGATAAAGCAGGGGAGGAGGGGGTTTGCATCGGAGCAACTGGGAAAGAATTTAAGGAAAGATATGCAAACTATCTACGGACATTCATAAACGAAAAATATAAAAATAACACCATGTTGTCAAACTATGTATGGGAATTGAAACTGAAAGAGAAAAACGCCAATAGTAGAATGGAATATAATAAAACAGATAAGTCGGAAAAAAGAAGATTGAGTAATGTATGGATGGAAGAGAAATTACAAAATATAGAATCTAAGAACGGGCATAATCTAATAAATAAAACGAATTAAATTATTTCGAACTGTTGCCACGTTGACTAATTCTTTTACAAAAAGTGAAAAAAACAATAGATTTCAGGGAGGCTATTAAAAACAGCCACCAACTTTGAAAAGCAAAGTAAAAAGAAAAGTAAAGAACAAAAACAAATACTAATCTTGAAATAGCGATGTAATTAGGTAAATAAAAGAAAATGACATTTCTGTATGTGTACGGAAAAGCTTTTTAAATGAATTTAAAATGGAGCATTCTTAAGGAGAGGAGTATATTATTTGTATATTCCTTTTTTTATGTATGTTAAGGTGCATCATTTTATATTCATTTAAAATAGGAATATAAAATAATTTATATATATATATATATATATTATTTGCATGTTACTTCCTTATATATGTCAGCGTATTTGAATGCACATAAAATGACATATTTATTTACTCATTTACGGCTCGGTTTTTCACGCTTAGTGCTTTTTTAAAATAGGTGACTGTTTGAAAAGAACAATGGATTCCAGGAATAGCGTTCCTGAGTTCTATTATTCTTCTCACTTTTTTAAAATGGAATGTGAAATACTAAAGTGCAAATTTATTCAATAAAATCGCCATTGGCTTCAACCACGACCTCCAGACGACTTCGGAATATCCGGCAACTCTTTTGGATGGTCTCCTTTGTTCATCTTTGGTGTTGCAAGGAGTTTTGTTTGTCTCCCACTTAAAGGTGCCCAACAAATAATAATCAGGACAGGTGCTGTCTGGGGAGTTAAGTGGCCAGATTTAAGGGGTGATGTGACCGCAGAAATTGTCTGACCACCATCACTGAGTTCTGCTTCTGGAAAGATGAAAGGAAGCATAACGTCGCCATTATCGGTGATCACTCTAAACACCTTCGTAATTACTATTACACTCATCATTTCTTTCACAATCCTCTCCAGTGAATGTAAATTCTACATTCAACACCATCATTTGATAAGACACCAGAAATGTTGTGACACAATGGCTATTTTTGTAGTGATGTTATAACATATTTATGTTATAATTTTCGAGTAAATTATATTTACTCTACTCTGTATTGAGCACTCTTTTAAGAATAGTATTTTTAGTTACTGGAATTTATTCTGTATACACCAATCCTATACTTGGCCAATCTTTGAATTTCATCATACAAATGCGTATGTATAGACACAACACCACCCGTATACATACATATGTCACATCCGAAACTGTCCACATATGTTTATATATGTATGAGTCCCGACGGACGACCAAGTGTGTATGTGTGTGTGCGTACTTCATTGGGCGTATGAACATACATCGATGTTTGCGTTAGCACGATGACATCACGACGACGTTTCCCCCCTTCCATAATGACACCAATACCCGCAATCTACATAAACCCAAAATTAAAGAAAAAATTAATCAGTTTGTCTGACGATCGCAAAAACGTGAAACCCAGGGTCACAAACCAACCAAATATGTTAGCTCTGTCTCTGATATTGAGCGCTTTCTAATAAGTACCGCGCATATAATATATAAATAATTATATATATATATATATATATATATATATATATATATATATATATATATTTATTTATATTTATATACACACACTTTTCACACACACACACACACACACACACACACACATATTACATGAAACGTTATTTTTAGTGGATACACTTATTTGAGAAGACGCTCCGTTTTATTTTAAATAGTTTTTATTTCGTCTAACGTCTTGCTCATTCGAGAAAACGTATTTGCCTTTAAAGCAAATTCAGTTGTCCAGATTTTCTCGACATTTTATCCGAAACGAAAAGAAAGCAATTTCTCATAGCAGCCACCCTCTTGACTTTCGTAATCACCATTAGACCCATCCAACTCTTTCCGAATCCACAGCATGACGGAGTGAATTGCCTCACTCATGGTGTTCTTTTTCTTACAGACGATGCCCAACTGACCCTACTATAATGTGCAGTCAACAAAATCAAAAACAAACAACGCACATGTACGAAATTAAAAATATAAAATGGCAACAATTTACCCATCGCACTCTCTCTCTATCTTTTTCTCTCTCTCCATATATATATATATATATATATATATATATATATATATATATATATATATATATATATATATATATATATGTATGTGCATGTGTGTATGTGTTGAACCATTATTCAAAAAGAAAATCGTTTGCATTTTGACAGACGCAAATCTGACCCTCTTATCTACTTTGTAAATTAATGAAAGTGATTTTAGACGACAG